TAATTATTATCAAGGTTATATTCCAATGTCATCGACTATTTTAGCCGCATTATATAATTTGACAAAAAAAAATGTTAAGTGGATTTGGTCAAAAGAGTGCGAATCAGCATTTAAAAGAGCGAAATCAGTTTTAAAAGAAAGTCAGTTATTAGTTACTTATAACCCAGATTTGCCATTAATTTTGACGTGCGATAGCTCTAGTTATGGCGTGGGTGCAGTACTAAGTCATATAATAGATAAGGAAGAAAAACCTATCGTGTTTGCATCGAGTACATTATCGGCAGCTGAAAAAAATTATTCTCAAATCGATCTTGAGGCATTAGCTATTATATTTGGAATAAAAAAATTTCATAAATATTTGTTTGGTCGAAAGTTTATTTTAGTATCGGATCATTTGCCGTTAAAGACATTATTTAATCAAAACAAAAATATTCCAGTACATGCTTCGTCAAGACTTCAGAGATGGGCTATAATATTATCGGGTTATGATTATGAATTTCAATATAGAAAGGGGTCAAACATAAATAATGCTGATGCGCTATCGAGATTACCTATAGAGGGAAATATTGATGAAGATTTAGGTTCAATAATGTTAGTTGAACAGTTACCATTAACGTTTCACGAAATAGCAAAGCAAACAAGTGAAGACGCTGTTTTAAAAATAGTTTGTGAGCAGGTTAAGTCGGGTTGGGTTGGCCATAAAAATTATAAAAACGAGTTAGAACCATATTTTCGTAGGAGGTCCGAGTTATCAATTGAAAAGGAATGTTTAATTATAGGAAATAGAGTTGTAGTTCCAAATATATTAAGACAGCAAGTGTTAAATATTTTACATAAAAACCACCCAGGTATAGTACGATCAAAAATGTTAGCTCGATCTTATGTATGGTGGCCAAATATATATAGTTGTATTGAAAAGTATATAAAATGCTGTTCACAATGTCAGTTTAATCAAAACGATAAAAGTAAGAAGGATAAAATTTTTGTCCCCTGGCCGAAGTCAGAAAAACCATGGCAGCGTATACATATTGATTTTTTGGACGTATATAAAATTAAGTTATTAATTCTAGTAGATAGTGGAAGTAAATGGATTGAATGTTGGGCGTTAAATAATACAACCGCAGCAATGGTAATCAGAGTTTTAAGCCGTTGTTTTTGTACTTTTGGTTCGCCTGAAATACTTGTGTGCGATAACGGACCGCCGTTTGGTTCAAAAGAATTAAAAACATATTGTATTAATAATAGTATAAGGTTATTACATTCTCCACCGTATAATCCGGAGTCAAACGGTTTGGCGGAGAGAGGGGTACAAACTATTAAGAAGATATTAATTAAGTCACTGTGTAATGAGAGAGAGATAACGAGAATGCAAACGAAAATAGACGATATATTATTGTCTTATCGAAATACACCGTCAGCTGACACAGGTTGTTGTCCAGCAGAAATTATGTTAAATTTTAAGCCGAAAACACAATTAACAGTATTAAAACCAAAAATAGGAGGGAACATTATTTTAGAGCACTCTGCAATTGGAAAATCGGAACATTTTGAAATTAATGAAAATGTGTTAGTAAAAAACCCACAAGCAAAAGGTCAAAATTGGTTACCAGGTAAAATTATGAAAGAACTGAGTGGATGCCGGTATTTAGTGATGATGAATGGAAGTGTGAAAATGGTGCATATAAATAAATTAAAATCTAGTATGTTAAGCGAAGGAATGCATCAGAGTGATTAAAAAAAAAAAAAATAATGTATTAGTTTTTAATTATTATTGATGTGTTTATATTATTATTTATTATATTATTATGTAATTATTATGTAATTATTATGTGTACAATTATAATATGTTGTTTCAGTATAATAAGAATGTGAAAGCAAAAGTAATTGAATTATAAAATGTTATTAGATTATTATTATTATTTTTAAGGAGGAATAATGATATGTATGTTACCTACCTAATTAATATTTATACTATTATGTAATCGGTATCGACGACCGCGCGATACTGCGATAGCCGTTTCATATTATAATAAACAGTCTTAATTAAATCGTACCCGCTGTAAGTTGTCTTGTCGTCCGCTGCTCCCCGCGTGTCTGTCTAAATATGTGCAAACATAATAGTGTCTTTGTCACGCTTCTCTACCGGTACGAGAAAACAACGACCCGTTTCGCGTTCAACTCCACCAAATACCCACTGGCCTTCAACGCGATGTCCTCTGTGGTATTTTCGCCTTCCGAATTTGGATTCATCAATTTCAACAATTAACCCCGGTCCACCTACATACAGAGTATTTTTTAAATTGCATTTTTGTTGCACCGAGTCACCGAGCGGGGTCACTCGCTCGCTGCGCTCACTCGGACAATTAAAAACGAAAATATCCCCCGGCTTGCTGTGCAACACCTCCCCAAGTGGGTCACAGGGTTAAGAAAATTGCATTTTTGTTGCACCGAGTCACCGAGCGGGGTCACTCGCTCGCTGCGCTCACTCGGACAATTAAAAACGAAAATATCCCTCGGCTTGCTGTGCAACACCTCCCCAAGTGGGTCACAGGGTTAAGAAAATTGCATTTTTGTTGCACCGAGCCACCGAGCGGGGTCACTCACATGCTAATTTCCATGCTCGCTCGGACTGTTTAAACTAAATTGAGTACTTAATCTTCTACTTACCGATTTTTTGGTGTCGTAGTATCATACCGTCAAATACGACTTCTCGGTGGAACGAGGCCCAATCAACAGATGATTGCCGAGCTATTTTAAGTTGATTACGAATAAATTCTAGTGACACTTTTTCGGTCCACAAATACGCGAATGTCACAATTTGATATATAGACAAGTGGGACTTTGAAAAAAAAGTGCACTTTCGGATTGATTGGTAAAAATTGCACTTCACTTTCTTTTTGCTGCTGTTGATATATGTTTGTTTGCATCGCCAAACAACACCGTCACAATAAGCTGTGCTAGGACACAATTCTAAAAAGTGTCCTTTATTACATTTTATGACATTATTTTTTGCAATAAGGCCCCAGGACTGTAAAACACTTATAACCGACATGGACAGATGGCCACTCGTTTTATGTTCGAATATTTCATAAATTTCAATGATCGATGTCATTTTAAATTTTTAACAAAATAAAATTAAAACTGAACAACAAAATACTTTAGTTTAACTCGACTAAGTAATCGATCGTAATGACGATCATGCATTTTGCTATCGGAGAAAATAGTACCTATCTATAATATTTTATCTTTTTTTTTTCTTGATATTATGATAATTAAATACACATTATTTGTATATATTTAATATGATGAATTTAATCTTAATATTATGGGTTTGTGTTTGTGTTCCACCATTAATGATGCTACTATTTTGGTAAATACCAATAATAATTTATTATATTAGCTTTATAAAATAATATAATTGTAACTACCTGTTTACCTGTATTACATTTTTTCATAAATAAGGCAACTTTTAATACCTGTAACTCTAAAACTAAGCCAGATAGCACAATTCTGACTTCACTAAAAACTTTTCCAACTAAAACTGTATATATTTTTTAAAAAAAATATTAAAAAAACTGATTTTCAGCTAATTTTAGAAAGGATTTATTATTAATTTTGAAAATGGTATTTTTCAATGTTTACGTGCAAAAACTTCAAAAGTAAGTATGTTAGGTAAGTTTTGATTTTACCAATCTATTAAGCGTTAAAAACCACACATTTCGAAAAAAAAAAATCTAAAAATATTCAATTCTAAGTATTTTTTTTTTTTTAAAATGCGCGTAACGAAAAAATGAAGTTTTTGAAGTTTTTGATCAATAACTTCAAAACTAAGTTTGTCCGGGCTTGTTTTTTTTTACATTCTTATAAAGCACCCTAAAACACACATTTTGGAAAAAAAAAATTTTTAAAAATCGATAGGTTGCTAAACTAGAATTATGCGGATGTTGTAAATCTACATATTATTTCAGATATTAATTTAATGATAATTATAATTAAAAAAACAATTTTAGATAATAGTAATTAGTATTATGGAATAATACATAGGTAAGATTTTAATTTACACAGATGACCATAACATTATAGCTATAGTTCATGTCACGATTAAAGATCGTTTAAAGTATCAACTGAAATTGCTAATAAAAACAGTTGGAATATTCACTACTGCGTGTGTAATGATGTGTAGTGAAGTATAGAAGCAGACAGCATCAGCCGCCACTCGCCACCACAGTATTTGGGATTATCATCACTATTACATACAAGCGCTAGTTTTGAATTCTCCAGCTGTTTTTAATAACGATTACAGTAGACACTTTTGCCTGATCCGTTTTGGTAACCATCCTATCCTAAATCATTTTTCATACAAAATAAAATAATAATATAATATAAAGAGTATGTTTTATGTAAGGTAACTATCGGACTTGAGCAAGTACTAGCACGTATTTTTTTTTTTATTTGAACATAACCTAACATAGTTCTTAAAATTGAATAACGTACCAATAAGCTTATTGAACTTCAATTTGTGTAGCTCTACACTTTTTAAAAAGCCCTCAGCTATTCCATCTGTTTCTATATCGGCGGCTGCTTTTTTCCAGTTTAAAAAACATGTATGAATGCCTGAAGTTTCATTTTTTGTTTCAGCTCGACTACAGATAATACAAAAGCGATTTCTGATCCCAACAAATAGCACTTTTTTTAGTTTTGTATCCAATAAAAGTGGCCTGTATATTTTAATATTTTAATTAAATATTATCAACAATTCATGCATGTATGGTTCCGGTTAAACAGGTACATAATTATTTTAATTTGATATTTAACTTAAACTAATGCAATTAATTTTTAAAAATAATTTCTGTGGACTAACACGTTATATTCCACGTTACTAAAATAATAATTATGAATGTAGAATATATAAATGTATATTGTATGACAAAAATTAATTTACCTAGCACTGCAGGCTTTACCTAACAATAGTCGAATTATTTGTACTAATTTGGGGAGACTAATATTTCAAATAAAATTTGAAAATCATATTTTAATGGGCCTTAAATAATATGGTAAACGGAAAATTGGTACGGTGATTGTGTTTTGAACAAAAGAAATGAAATAGGCGGAATATTGGTACTATAAAATATTTTATTTTCAGTGGTTCAAAAAATTAAATTAAAAAAAATGTGTCCAAAATTAAATAATTCATAATAATTCAAAATTAAATATAAATTCACAATAGTTTCCCTATGATATTTAAAAAAATGTCCATTGTAATTTCTTTATTTACGTAACTAGTAATAGTTTCATGAAGTTTATATTGAAGTGAATCATATTTTTTATTTTTTTTTCGAGATGTTAAATTATTAGGTAGTTCATGCCGTATACTTTCAATTCGCATCGTAGATTCATCTTGTTGAATACATTGTAGAACTAACCAAAATGATGGGTTGCTTGTTCCTACAAGCTTATTAAAATAATTATTCCACCCTTCGCAATAGTTATTTGTTCTATCACCACCGTTCAATGTGACATCGAATACATTCCACAAAATTGGAGAAAACATTGGGGTACCGCTAGTACCACTGACATAGATGTCATCAAAATATTTAGCCACTACCAATAGTTCTATAGGAATTATTGTGTACAAATAAGCCATTCCACTGGATACTTCATTGAGAGGTAAAAAAGCTAAAGCATTAATCATACTGCAATTTATTCTTATATTTTTGTTATTTTTATAAACAGAACTTAGACCTAGGTGTTGAATTTTTCGCCACATTGACTGGCATAAGTGAAAAAAACATCCTTTAACCTGCACACTATCACCAAATACATGTTTAGTAGCACTTATAGCTCCTATTTCGAAATCCATCACGATATATTTTGGTTTTGGATTGTTTGAAGTTTGAAGACAATTAATAACAACTTGTTGTAAAATAGTGATATACGTACTTTTTAACTTATTAGGCAAAAATGCATACACACAAGTAGATATTTGATTTTTATACTTTCCTCGTATAACATAAAGTTGTTGGAATATAGTAGTTGAGCATTTGAAAGTTCCATCCATAAACCAAGTTGCCGCGCAAGACAAAATATTTAAAGCGAAATTAGAGGCAAAAATCAAAATTCGCGAATCAGCTTGTTTATTATCAAAAATCAAAAATGGCTTAGGTTCAGCACCCATCGTTGTTTTCCACTCTTCAGGAAGACAAAAATTTGCATTTAACGGTTCATCGGGAAATTTTCTATGTCGGTAATTTCGTATGTTACGTTTTATGGAAGACAAATTTCCCAGTGTTACCGCTGTATCTTCTACAGCCATAAAATATTTTAAAAAAATTAAAAATAATAATATTTATTTAATAAAAAAAATAATCATCTAACCAGAAATATTGTGCATGATGGATGAAACCATCTGACTTGGAGTTTCTCGTGTGTCTAAGGCTCTTTTTTTTATATTATGTCTTATAGCAATTATTTCCTCAATTTTATTATTTGAAGTGTGATTATGAGGCACTATATTTGAATAGTTTATATACTAAAATAAAATTAATAATAATACATTACAATACAATAGATACAATAATATAAATTATTACTAATTTAAAACTTACTGGTTTCATTAAATTCGTTGTAATTTTTCCCGGACATTTTAATGTTGTATTTTGTGAACATTTCCACCTAATAGTATTATTATTTTTTCTTAAAATTACATACGAATAATTCTTGTACGGCATTAATTCATTTCCCTTTTCAGTTTTAAAACTTTCCATTATAACAAAAATAAAAATTGAAAATTGTGGACACGTGGCAATAAGTTGAACGTTGCAGTTGCACTAGGTCGCATGAAATGTACAATTTAATGAAATAATGTACAATATCTTTATTCGTCGTTATCGATATTGTCATTTGTCGTTGTAGATTATATTAATACTTCCCTACAATTTCATGCAGTACTTATCTAATGTAGTTAAATAATAATAGTTTAAGAAACCCTGGTTTTTAACGACCGTACCAATATTCCACGTTCAAAACAACCGTACCAATTTTCCGACAATCCTTAAATATATAACGAAAGTACAAAATATAGTATACCACTCCGGATAAAGCGTCGTATTTAGATTTATAACTCCGTTTTGACCACTGTCCATCTGCTACAACGGTACAAAACGGTATCCCATCATTGCCAACATCTGCTTCTATTGCTAACTTTCTTTCTTCCTCTCCAGCTTTTTATATTTCCTCCCACGCTGAGTTATGAATACTAGAGCTTAAGTTTTCATGTTCTTTAAAAAAAGTTGTACTTGTCATGCACGGAATTTCCATTGCAGCTGATAATTCAGCTATTTGTTTTTGGCCAATTCCTTGAAGATGATATATAACAATGTAGCAATGTATAACTTTTACAACCAACATCAAAATCGAATATAACAAAAACTGTATTGACTATTTTCAGTTTTTTTTTCAAAATTTTAGATTAATGCTTTTCTAATAGTGTAATATATTTTAATATTTTTAGACCCTTATATTTATTGGTTAAACTACTATAAAATTTTGATTTTAAAATGGCAACATATAATAAAAATGTATGACATTTTTATGATATATTTCCGTTTGAAAATCAAATGTTGAAAGTGGTTTAATCTAATCAGTAAACAAAGATAAAAAAAAAAAAAATAATAATATATTACCTACCTCTATAATTTAGGTAGGTATATTAAGTACCGTCAACCAGGCCAACTTGGGGCAGTTTTGAAATTCTATTATAAATAACTTTAAGTCTAATTATTCTATAGGTATTTTCAATATAACATTTTTTTTTAGTTAAGGTTTAATTTATTAATTTCTGTTGCATTTGAATCATACAAATTATTCCTTCTATGTGTTTTTTTTCTGCTTGCCCCATGTTGTACCGAATATCGACAACATGGGGCATTCATGTTTTTCTTATGAAAAATCTATTTTATAATTTACTCAAACCAACTTGGGGCACTATTTTAAATTTTTAAAAAATACTAGATAATTTTCTGAATTTAAAAAATATATTTTGTACCTGGTGAGTGTATATTAACATGTACAAAAAAATAAAAACATTCTTGTTAACCAATTAAAAAATTATTAAAAAAAAATAATAAAATTAAAAATTAAAAATAATAATATTCTTGTTTAGTATTAAATATTAAGTAGGTAGGTAACTTCCTTGTTAACCAATTTATAAAGTATTAAACAAAAAATAACATTAAAAATTAAAAAATAATAACATAATTGTTAGATATTAAATAACAGGTAACTTTCTTCTTTAGGTATCTACTAAATAAGTCTTATAATTTGTAAATATAAATTAGGAATTCATGTACAATAAAACCAATGTCTTTTGATGTCAAAGGGAATCCCCATTTCCCAGCTCTAACTAGTCCGTCCAACAACAAAGATTCTTCTATTGTAGATAAAACACAAGGTCTCCCAACAGGCTTCAAATTTTTCTTATTTCTCTTTCTATTAATTGTAG